AGCTGGAAGGTCGCGGGTTCGATTCCCGATGAAGTCACTTGATTTTTCAATTGACCTAATCCTTCCAACAGCACTGTGGTCTCGGGGTCGACTCAGCCTCTAACAGAAATGAGTTCCAGGAATCTTCTTGTGGGTAAAGGACGTCTCACAACCTTATGGGCCTCAACGGCTTGTTATAGGGATAATTTTACCTTTTTACCTTTTAATCGTTCTTGGGGCCAATTTAACTTAGCGTTGTCCATAAGTCTCATTGTACATTCTTAATTTTATTTTGAATTTAATTTATCTAGCCTTTTTACATTTATCTAACGAATTTCCAACATTAAGATAAAACATTATCCGATATTAGATTAATTCTTTTTCACATGTGTTATTATAATATTTGATTTTATGATCTGTAAAAAAAATGTATTTAGTTACCAAATTTGTCACCAAATATTATAGTAAATAAGGCAGTCAGACAGAAAAAAATATCTGGTATATAGTATGCAGAAACCCTCTCGAGGAAAAGAGCCAATATTCGGTCAATTTACATCAAATCAATCATCGTCTCAAGTTCTTACCCTCAACTTTGGGGGTGTGTTTCACTCTCAGGTGAAAGTGAGAATTTTGAAGCAGAATTTAGTACTGGAACGAGCAGAGCTCAGTCGATATAGATGCTTGGCCTCGGGGTGGACGGTCGATAAATCAAGGTTAATTCTCGGAAGGGCAATGAGAGTCTTGTCTTCTCTTTTCAATGCATCCGGAGCAACTCTGGTGCTTATTGTGCCACCTATTCAATGAGTTTCTAGGGCTCTTTCGCAGGTATCAAGTTGTGAGAGCGTGAAACCGGCCTAATACCAAGGTAAAGAGGGCTGCACTGCCGTTTACTTCTTTATGACTTTGTCTTCATTAAGCACAGTGACTTTTACGCTTTTAACATACTTCAGCACATTGGGAGTAAGAATAGTCTACAGACCAGAGGAGCAGAGAGATACAGTTGGAACTAAACGGAAGATATTGTGCCTATGCCTCTTCCCTTCAGACATATACACCCTTTGCTGTGTAGTGACTCTGTAAACAGCGCGCGTTGCTAGGCGATAGATTACTAAGACGCAACAATGGACTAACTGGGAAGCGGTGTTCTCTACACAGCCCGTGAGATAGGTGCGTGACGCAACAATAAAAGTGTTGGAAGCGGTGTTTTCTATGCAGTCCGTTCCGAGGTGTTATAAGCAGGATAAGTCTAGACCCGGCGGAGGTCGTGGAATTTTTAAGGGCGGAAAAATTCAGGGAACAAGTCCTCCGGGAGGGACTTTAGATTTACGACACGTAAAAGATCTTCATGTCTCTAGGAGGCCTCTGAGCAAAATTAGNTATTAGTCGCGGTGCATGGGGAAACCCACCCCCTCTATACTGAATAACTGAATAGTTAGTCAGTAACCCGTGTGGAGGCGGGGTCGAATACCTACACCGTGACCCTGCAAGTCGTAGTAGGCGACGAAAAGGGAAGTCTAAAATCTGAGACAGTAAAATATGGTCGCGAGTTCCAAGGGACTCAGGCCCGAGAAAGACTTCGCTGGCAAGGTCCATCAGCATATATAAAAGGCAGACCCGTCCTCTCGTCAGAGAAGGTGCCCCACAAAAACAAGACCGTAAATGCCAAATAGTGGTAAATGACCAACTTTGGTCGTGGGCCTCAAGGGGCCTGTCGCCAAGACGAATTGATTGGCGGTAAACCCCCAGTCGTAAAGTGACTCTGACTCTGACTCTGACAGTTCAGTTGTATCGAGTCAGTGTCACTGTCAGTTGAAATGCAGCAGCCGCAGAAGACAGTATTCGGAGTATTCGGCAGAACAGAAGTCAGTCAGTTGCAGGAAGAAAAAGACCTGAACGCGTGATTTAGAAGATTTTATGTGTGAGACGGTTCGTGCAACAGTGGATTAAGAGGTGCTCGTAAATCGGAGATAGTGCTGCATCTAAGTGTAATCAAAAGAGCGCGTGTAGCCAAGCTGTTTATGAATCCAAATCATCCAAATTAGAACCCGTCCTTTCGTCACGCGTACCCCCCTACACGTGACAAAATATTTTCTTATGTGTCTGTAATTTATCTTCACTTCAAGCTATGAGAAAGTCAGTTATGAAGGATTCTGTCAAAATTTGCAAGACGTAATTTTAAATAGCTGTAAAGAGTTCAATCTGACATCATACCAAAATAAAATCAAATTTATTATTATAATACATATAATTTATTTTATTATTTATTTATCATCGTCCTATCAGCTCAATTTTTGTTAGTTGGACCAACTGTACTCATATACAATGTAGATTCCCACACTTAAAATGGAAAATAGTCTGATATATTCGTTTTTTTTTCTGCATAATTTTCAGCGAAAAATTCCTTGAAGCAAAGTTAATCTGTGCAATATTTGGAATGAGACAAGTTAATTGATTTTTTCCTAGGAAGGTTAAATTTGGAGAACCTTGTAAACAGCACCTTTTTACAAGAATTACTTATTTAATATGTCTTCACAAAATTCACCCCCTCCACTGTAGTTATCAAATTTCCTGGAAAAAAAAACACAAAAATATGCTAAGTCCCCTTATTCTTACATTATTTTAGTACAGTATTTCGTGAAAATTGTACAAGAGATTGATAGTGCATGGGGGCTTTGTCCCGAACAAGAGTTTTATCACCTCATGCATATTTCTCTTCCTTTTTTGTATCTCTCTTTCTTCCCCCATCCAGCCCCTACTCCTACATTCTCTGTCTCACTTCCGTTCCAGCGCTGGACGCGGTTGCGTGAGGAAGAGAAACTTCATTATCCGTAGTTCTGTTATACCGACTGACCATAGACAGGCACACATACATACAGAATCATGTAAGGTCCTGCCCGTCTATTATACCTTCCCTACTTTCATCTGCACAGTTATGTAATTACTTACTTTGAATGAATTCCCAACACGGCGGCCCGGGTTCGATCCCGGGGTTTGGGATTTGTGGTGGACAAAGTGGCGCTGGAGCTGGTTTTCTCCAAGTACTTCGGTTTCTCCTGCCAATCTTCATTCCACCAATTGCTCCACAATCGCCCTCACCTATTATCTGGGGCTGGTACAATAGATCAGAAATGGCCGCAGTACAAGGGACTTAATCCCACTAGCAATAAAAAAATACTTCGAATGGAAGAAAGAAATATTTGATTGAATTTTAAGTTGCGGAAATTCACACATGGTCCACATCCTGTTTATTTAAGATATGTTTTAATATTATACTAAGTCAGTGCCTGTTTTTCACAATCTGTCTCTCTTTGTACTCTTTTTCTCCGCCATGCATGCTATATGCCTCGTCCATTCCATCCCCTTTGAAGCGATCGCCCTGATCGTATTTTGTGGAGAATACTTTTTTAAATTCCTCATAACACAATTTTCTTCGGTGTCCTGTTACTTCCTCTCTACGTAGCACAACATTCTCTAACTCCTGTGATCGCCAGGATGCTGAAATGGAAAATACTCTCTGCTAGGAGTATATCACGGATAACCAAGCAAAACTGCATAATGAAGAACTTCATAACTTGTGCTCTTTGCCAAGTATACTTTTTTTTTCAGTGGTTCTACACCCCCTACCCTTGTGCCTTGGCCTCTGATTTTCAGTGCCATGATCATTTTTACAAACGGCAGGACTCCTTGGACGAGCGATGAGCTAGTCGCAAGGCCTCTACGTAAACACAGGAAAACATAAACACAGAATAAACACACATACCAAACAGCCATGCCTTTTGTGAGATCCGAACCCACGATCCCGGCTTCCGACCGAGCGAAGACAGTACATACTGCTCGGCTACTGTGACCGGCAGTGTATAAGAATAATATATAAGAATTCAGTTCGTACCTCACAGGAAACAGATCCGAACCCACGATCCCGGTTTCCAAGCGAGCGAAGACAGTACATGCCTTAGACCGCTCGGCTACTGTGACCGGCAGTGTATAAGAATAATATATAAGAATTCAGTTCGTACCTCACAGGAAACAGATCCGAACCCACGATCCCGGTTTCCAAGCGAGCGAAGACAGTACATGCCTTAGACCGCTCGGCTACCGTGACCGGCACCAAGTATAATTAGAATGATAAAGTCAATGAGGACGAGCTGGACAAGGCATGTAGCACAAATGAGAAGCGTGTATACGGGATATTGGTGGGAAAGTCAGAAGGAAAGAGACCACTGGGAAGACGAAAACGTAGTTGGATGGACAATATTAAAATGAATCTTAAAATGATAAGATGCCGTGGTATGGAATGGATTTATGTGGGTCAGAATATTGATCGGTGGAGGGCTCTTGTGAACACGGTAATGAACCATCGGGTTCAATAAAATGCTTGGAAGTTCTTTAATAGCTCCACAACTGGCAGCTTCTCAAGAAGGACTTAGTTCCATAAAGTGCCTACAAACAGAGTTTTGGTAGGCGATCACTTGGAAGACCTAGAAGGAGATGGAATAATAATAATAATAATGATAATATTATTGTTGTTATTATTATTATTTGTAGAGGGGGTGCGTTTCCCCATTCACTGCGACTAATAGTCTATTGTACGTCCCCCTTTGATATTCTACCAGTCGCTATGCCCTGCCAATACTAGTGCTCGCTATCATCCCCGTCCTCCCAGCGAGTTCGGCCACCTCTCTGGCAGTGGTACCCAATACTTCCCCATCTACCGGAGGAATTGGAAACTACTTGGGCGGGAATCTTTGCCTAATTTTGCTCAGAGGTCTCCTAGAGACAGGATCTTTTACGTGCAGTAAATCTACGACACATACCTTGAGTCATGAGGTGGGAACGTTGCCCCTAGACTACGGAGGCCGCTAAGAATAATATTAAGTTGGAGGATGGGATTTCGACTGCCTCAGAATCATGTCGGATGGCGGACTTTATTCATTGCAGTGTTCAACTTCGGGCTCAGAATTAGCTTCCAGTTTTGTTTCAGTGGCTGTAAACTCAAGAAGTCTGCATGTGCTGGTTCTCACCTCGATTTTTTTGAAGTCTATATTGGTCCGGACGGTGCGATGGTGCAGATGCTGCACTGGCCTTGCGTTGTTACCCAGAGGCGCTTTCGGCGTCGTCTCCGAGCCTTGCATTAGTTTCCGAAGCGCATAGAACTAGAACACAGATATAAACACATTATGACATGACGTAAGGTCCAACATGTACCTTGATATGCGAAAACTAATCATATTAAAATTTATTTATGCACGGCGAAACTTCATTTATAAAGCACATCACTGTATCTTTTTTTTTTAATTCGTTTAGTAGGGGGTGGATTCCAACTGGGTCCACTCGGCACGGCGGCCACTGATTGGCCTATTGTACTACCTGCCCCGGGTGATTATGATGATGGAGAACGTGGTGGAATAAAGATTGGCAGAGGAAACCGAAATACTAGGAGAAAACCGACCCCAGCGCCACTTTGTCCACCACAAATCCCACTTGACAAGAACCGGGATCGAACCCGGTCCGCCGCGATGGGAAGCCAGCGACTAACAGCTTGAGCTATGGGGCTACCCATCACTGTATCTTCCACGAATTCTGGAAGATATTTAGTGAAATCTTTTTTTTAATGAGTAATTTCCAAACAAGCGTGAAATATTATATCCCCACATTTTATTGTACATTATACAAAAGTTTAGAAATTAAGATATATTATGTAGTTCTGTTTTCCTTAATTGATTCATTAAATATTGCACTGGCTGGTTCTAAAGGGTTCTGACGATGATGTATAACATACAGAATTACTGGGTTTGGGGACTTTTTCCATCGTCCCGTATTTTAGACAATAGAAAACACGACGTTTCGGAAACAGGATCTCTTTCCGTTCTCAGGTGAGGGGGGAGAAACCTACTCAATTGGGCCCCCTTAGAAAGAGCTAATCGCAATGACTGTACAACTCCTGTCAGATCTACACAGTTCTATAATACTGTGACGCGTTACCTAGCGTCCATCGCCACGCAACGGCTACAGTGGAAATTGTTGAGCTCCAACAGCGACAAATCGAATACAAACAGACCGTTGCGAAGGAGCGTTCCCGAAGCAACGAACGCGTCTCCCCGGAGATGAACTACAGAGAGTTCGTTGCGCCCGTTACGTAACAGCGGACAGTAGAAACGAAACTGAGGAATGGTGTCCGGTATCCAGTCGGCAGAACACCTACATAAGTTGGAACCTAGACGCCATACGATATAGAAGAAGGCAGCAATAGAGTATTAGAATATTGAGTATTGAAATATTAGACCAGAAGTCAAGTGACATTGCAAATGATCAAAATTGTAAAGCGTGTAAGTGTATAAGTGAAGTACAATAAAGATTCGCTAAATCCGAGACCCACGTGAAGTTATTTGTCGCGTGACATACCCAACACGTGACAATCCTTTTTATTAAATATGATGTAAAAGTCTGTGATGATGATACTGTAGCGTGTTTGTGTGTCACGCTACAAATAAGTTCACGCCGTTGTCCCAATATAGCGGATTTATTCCTTTCGCTCACACTTTACACACACTTTACAGGCGTTTACACTTGCAGTGCTACAATCACTGCTCACAATATTCCGGCGAGACTGACTCCTTAGACGGATATTCCAAACTGACTTCTTAGACGGGCGATCCGAAGCTTTCTTCTCCAAAGGCTGGTCCGCGACTGACTTCTTCGAATGCTATTCCGAGACTCTCTGTTTGTCGCTGAAGCTGGGCTATCTATAACCTTGCCCGCTGTTAGGCAACGAACCCTCCGTTATAACCATGGAGACTCCTGTTAAAATTACAATGAAGCAATTGTTGTCTCCTCTGTAACGGTCTATTGTAGCGTTTCCATAGAAGTTACTCCTCTGGTTTGCCTACACGTTACAATACATTAATACAAATATTATATTTTTCGGACATTATCCATTGTCTTGTCTCTAAAAACCGTCCTGTTTATTTTTCAAAACACATAGTTTCGGAGACTGGATTCTGTCTCTGTCTTCAGGTAAAACATACTGAGTTGGGTCAAATCGATAGAGCTAGTCCGGAGATAGGGACTAGCTCTAACGATTGGGCCCAACTCAGTATGTTTTACCTGAAGATGGAGAGAGAATTCAGTCTCCGAAACTATGTGTTTGAAAAATAAAGGGAACGGTTTTAGATAAGGACAAAACGATGGATAGTGTCCAAAAACATAATATTTGTACAGTTTCTATTGTATATTTTCTTGTTATCTCCCGCCGAATTAGCCCGGTCTCAAGTGATTAAATAGCTGGGTAAATATAACAAGGGTTGTGCAGTGATTGAGATTAGCTCTTTCTAAGGAGTCCAACTGAGTAGGTGTCTTCTTCCCCCCTTCACCTGAGGATGAAACAGGTCCATTTTCCTAAATGTCTCATTTTATATTTTCTAGAATACCAGACGAATGAAAAGGTCCAAAAACAAGTAATTCTATTACACTGGCTGTCTTGTGGGGTTCATTAACATTTAATTAGGGAGTGAAATGCGTTTAGACAGGAAACTGCCATAACCACGGGAAGTAAAACATAATAAGGGGCATCCCTGGAAAGTCACGTGGTTCTTCACGCTTAACCGAAAAGATGAAAATTTTTTCTCTACAGTGATAGTAACTATTTCGAATTTCAGAATCATCTTTATGATATAATACAATAAGCTGGGATAGCTCAGTCAGTAATATGATTAATTTGCAAATAAACTGGCGGGGTTCTTTTCTCAGGGGAGATTCTGAGAGATACCAATGTAAGCAGTTTTCTTGCAGACATTTTTTATTTTATAAATTTTAGAAGACGCTTATCTGCGAAACACACCACAGAATTTCAGGATGTCACTGTTGTGTGTATAATAATTTATCTTAGTCTAGTCTGCTAGTTGGAAATTCATCTTCACAAACCTGGGTTCATAGGCGATATTAGTAGAAAATACCCTTTAGAAATTCACCAGTTACTCACAGCAGTGCCCAGACACAAATGTGCTTGCCTACGACAGGCAGTGAAAAGCAGATTCGGTTACTGTCATATAGCTCTAGTATTCGAAAACAGAGCAATTTTCAATTTGTAACTCGAAGAGACTTTCAGAATGATATGTCAATTCTATTCTTACTTCCCGCATGCAAGCCGTCAAGTGGAGCCTCCATCGGCGTTTTCACGAACTCATTGCATCTGGCGCGGAACTGATGGTTCAATTCTCCTTCTATATATACTGTACATGCACGCATTGAGAGGATGTTGTTACTGGTAATGATTTCTTTGAGTTCTTAGGGTGTTCGTGGATACTGTTCGTATATTTACCAATTAATTAACACCAAATGATCAGGATAATGTTCACATACATATAGGCTGTAGACCAATATAAATTTTAATATATATTTCGTTCAGCTTCATGAGAAAGCAAAATTTAGCGATGTGCTGTACAATACTGCTTGTCTGAATAATAGTTTTTAAATATATAAACACCTGACATACTAATAATCAAATTGTATCCATTCTTTAAGACATACAACCGAAACATTCTACGATTCTTAGCAGAATGCAATTTAATATTACAAAGGGAAACATCAGGAAAGAACGAAGAAGTCTTACCATAACTGGCAAAGTAATTGAATAGAAAATGAAACCGAAAACCCATTTCTGTGGTATTAACAGAAAAGATTGTCAAGTCACTAAACGCCACTGTTCAAGGAAAAGAAGAAATAGCTTCGGATGTTTGTGCTGTAATGCATTTCACTCAGTACTTCATTATGGAATGGAATGGAAGTCATTGTGCTTAAAGACATGGCTTGGTTTTCCTTTGACTGTTTTAATAAGATAATTCTGTGATGCATCTCATTTGACTATATTTTAAGTAGCTCTCTTCCAATATACTGTGTCATATTCCTCAAAGAAAGAATTTTGAAACCAGCAAAGAAAGCCGTTTATAGGGAACGGCTCTGTAAAAACACCCGTTGCTAGGCATTGTCTCAGTAACCGTCACGTGAAGGCCGCAATAGACACGCACGCAACAATAGAAGAAAAGTTGGGAGACGCGTTTTCTGTGGGGGCCGTGTCGAGGCCATATAACGAGGCCCAGCTTCCTCGACACCAAGACTTACTGACTGACTGACTGACCTTTAGTCGCAATGTGACTTTGACTTTGGCGGTATAAGCGGGTCATCTTGTCCCTGGGGGATATAAATACGGATACCTGGTCCTCCAGGTTTGGGGAGTCTCAAATCTGAGACAGTAAAATATGGTCATGAGTCCCGCGGGACTTTAACCTGAGAATGACTGCGCTGGCGAGTAGCAGCAGAAACTGTAAACGACAGACCCATCTCCTCAGACAGGACCTTACATAAGGACTACAACCGCAAGTGAGCTGTTGGAAAATAGAAATTCTGGTCGTGAGTCTCAAGGGGTTGCCACCAAGACAAACCAACTGGCGGTATACCACCAGTCGTAAAGTGACTCTGACTCTGACGCTGACTCTGATTCTGACTCTGACCATGAGAGAGTCCGAGTAGATCCCGAGTCGAGTGAGTTGAGAGAGAGGACCTGCAAGCAGACAGTCAGTTGAAATTCCCAGTTGTGAGAAGTTAGAACCTAGTAGCTGGGGCCGGGGACACTTCGGGAACCCAGAGGGAGGGGAGCCTCGGCGCTTAGGAGCCGCTACTAATCAACGCAATGAAGACCGCGACTCAGAACACTAGCGTTTTTATGATAGTGATTTATAAAGTGTGATCACAATTACCAATCGAAACCCCGACTATAGTCACTGGATCTCCAGTGGAGGTATATGATGGTGATTGATTCTGCGGTTAATCAACAACAAGTTTCACCCTAGGTAGCACGCGTGGCTAGCTGGATATAGTATTGGAAGGAAGGGATGATATCGCGCCAGTGTTCACCTTGACATATTGAACAAAATCATCTTAACCCCGAAGCAGGACACTTGGTAACCAGGCCGAGATAAGTGACTGGAAGCTTCCTGTTACGTTTGCAGAGCGTCGCCACTGCGTCACCCTACTGAGTTCGATAACGATTCAGCTGCAGTTCTTCATGCAATTATCGTGTTTCTGTTTCTGTCACTTAGGCACTTTCTGTATTGGAAATGTCTGAACAACAGAGCCTTAAAGACAGAGCGTCCATTAGAGTAGACAGGCAGGCAGGTACTTGAATGGTTATATTGTCTTGTGGACAGTGAAGAAACAGTCAAATGTTTCTCGCTACGAAGAACAATGTGTATTGAGAGAGACGGGCGCCTCAAGACGACGCTGTTTATTTATGGAGACATATTGTGCGCGATAAGAGAGCCAGCATGTACCAGACGCTCCTATGCAATGCTCCCTGGGAGATATCGGAGCAGTAAAACTGGAAGGAACTGCCCATGTCCTCACAAAAGTTTCCGAACCTTCTGCGGCCCACGTAAAGTGGATCGATAGAAACACTTCGACGAAGAGACGTGAAGGGACTGGGGAAATATGAGTGCAGGGTGTCACAGTAATCATTTCCTGCCTACAGATCCAGAGGTCCGGGTTCGATTCCCGGCGTTACCAGATTTTCTGAGAAGTACTGGGTCTGGAACGGGGTCCACTCAGCCTAGTGAGGATAATTAAGGAGATATTTCATGGAAATAACGGCTCCGGTCTAGAAAACCGCAATTAACTGCCGTGGAGATCCGTTGGGCTGACCACGCGACACCCTCTATCCGCTAAAGTTGGCACTAACTTCGCCGACAAGCAGTGATCGCTCGGTCGGTATAGTTCGCTTGCGGATTACAGGCCATAGAGTTTGTTTTGTTTTGTTTTTTATTTCAGTGCTTGTGATTTCTTAAGTCACTACGCATAAAAAACAGTAAAGGTATCCCTGTAACAGGCCGTGAAGACCCATAGCGTTGTGAGACTTTGAGGGTCCCACATTATCTAGACAATCGACTCAAAGATGGCGGTAAGGTTGTCAGCCTTACGAGTATATGCCGGCCGCGCTTTACTTCCCAGGAGAATTAGTCACTACGCATACAAATTTTGTATAAGTTCTGAGTTTCCACACTATAAAATTATCTATTTTCATTTCCACAAGACTTTACTTCAGTATTCTCCATTATTAGAAAATAGTATGTTTTCATGAGAAAAATATATTGTGGCATGTAGATCCATTGCTAGGTAACGGCCGCGAAATAAGTAGCTATACAACAGTCCTTGGTTTTAGTCCGCAAGCAAACTACACCGACCGAGCGACCGCCGCTTGTCGGCGAAGTTAGTGCCAACTTTAGCAGATAGAGGGTGTCGTGTGGTCAACGCAATGGATCCCCACGGCCGTTAATATCGGTTTTCTAGACCGGAGCCGATATTTCCTCGAAATGGCTCCTCAGTTATCCTCACGAGGCTGAGTGCACCCCGTTCCAGACCTACTACTTCTCAGAAAATCTGGCAGCGCGGGGAATCGAACCTGGAACCTCTGGATCTGTAGCCAGGAACTTACACATATATACGAACCAAAATCAGAAAGCAATTCCTTGTTCGTTTAATTAAAGTTAAGTACATTATATCTTACGTGAAATCGCCTTTTCAGCCGATGCTGTTTTTAAGTCGGATCACCAGTTTGCATATATCATCAGCATTACACTTTTTCTGTAGTGTTCGAAGCCAGAAACACACGTCCTGTTCCATCTCTGTAAGCACCGTTCTTCCTAGGCTTTCATTTGCCCGGAAGCACATAAATGGCTCGGAACAAGAACAGGAGAACAACGACGGATACACCAATATATTTATTTTCACACCGCAAGCTGATAAAAAATGTGTGGTGTTATTTCGATACCCAGGTTTTCAGTTGTGCCAACCGCTGCCAAAAATTTTAAGGACGAAAAGATTCATATCCTATTTGATAACATTGAAACAAAGTTTAATGTTGATTGTGGGCTTCGTATAGGTCAGTGCTGTCAATTTAAGCATCCTGTTACATTAACTTAACACTTATAGTTCCGCCTCAAATGAAAACCAATTTTTTATTTACTATTACTGATTGTTAGAGCCGGGACGGCTCAGTCGGTATAGCGGCTGGCTACTGGCTAGACGACCTAGGGTTCGGATTTCGAGTCCCTGTAGGGTGAAGAATTTTCTCTTCCTCAAGTCGTTCAGCCCGCCTCTGTGGTCCATCCACCATCTTATCGAATGTGTACAGGACGCTTTTTCCCCGGTGGTAAAGAGGCTGGGGCGTGAAGCTGACCACTCACTTCCAACTAGTGCCGAGGTGAAGAAAATGTGGATCTATATATCCACTCCCCCATACGCCTTCATGAAATTTTGCTTAATTCTTTAAGCACAGAGACAACTTTAACTTTTATTTTAATCATCTTTGTTACATGTTTCGGCCGCACCCTGCCATCAACAGCAACTATTTTCCTTGCTAAAACCATTCCACTATATTTTCCACTGCATTCAAATGAACTATTTTCAGATTGAAATATGTGAATGTCCTTACATTTGTCGTCATCCATTAGTAAAAGTTATTTGAGGGCATTACACATTGTTGTTTTCTCTCACTGTCTTCCTCCAGCTGCGTCTGTGTTTTCTGTGAAATAGCTCTATCTCGGAAACTGTTCGGAACATGACACATGTACATAGACAATTTTTTTTGCTTAGGATGACCGATACTATGTCCTCCCAGAATATTGACGTTTCCTCGTGGGACACTCTGTATATACCAATTTTTCCTTACAGTGCAAGTGAATCTTAATTCAACATTTTTCATTTCATGCATCCTGTTGTGTTATAATATATATATATATATATATATTTAGTATACTTACAATTTCTTTATTAAAACCGTCACAACACAACAATATTAAGGTCAGTGCCTAGTTTGGCTTTGCTATATGTTTCGGCTATTAAACGCCATCATCAGGCAAATACATGGCTAACATATATACACCACTGAATTACAGTACTAGTAAAATTGGATACAATAATATTAATCATATTAAAATGCTTGGCATTAAAGTACAATAATTAGATTATATAAAACGAAGTTATAGTATAAAGCAAGATTAAAATTCTTCAAATTATGCCTTACATCATCGAGTCAGTCGTTGGTTTTTGTGATTTTGTTGTGTTCCCACGGACAAATTGGAGTATTCTATATTTTGTGTGTATATAATAAAGTGTTTTGGAGGCTCGTGATGTAGATGTAGTAATATTAATGTTAATGTGAAAATGATATGAGAGTAATATTATTAAATTTTGTTATAATCAACAATTGATTTTGGTATTGAAGATGTAGTGCATTACTTGCTTATGCTATTTAGTCGGTGCCTAATCTTACAAAGTATTATCCGTTCTGTAGAGAGTGTAAGCAACGACTGATTTGGTGATTTATGTTAAAAGTCAATACAAGGGAGGCAGGGGGGGGAGGAAGGTAGAAATGAGGTGTATGCTGAAGTTGGGGGGAGGGGAGTATTACTGTATATTATGTTTTGTATGTATCAATGATTACATCATATATATAGGTTTAAAAATTTCAGCAAAATTATCATTTAGTTGTAAATTTACTTTGCTTACTTCGTAAATGTGAAATCTTATATAAGTATCCAAGGTTCGGCCTTTCTTGCCGATATATAGAACGTTGCCTGATGATGGCTTTTAATAGCCGAAACATGTAGCAGAGCCAAACTTGGCACTGACCTCAATATATTTGTGTTGTGACGGTTTTAATAAGGAAATTAATTCAATATGTTTTATCTGTCCTTATCGTACTTCAGCCGTTGTTTGAATTTAAGGGGATAAGCAGGCAATATGAGACCAGTACACAAAAACATACTTTCTACTCAGGGGATAATGAGGCAATGTGGTTACCTCCTGTTTGGTGATGTAGATGGGCCTGTTTAGGATGATCCAGACAGTAGTCTCCCAGCAGCCAGGGTGTGTTGTGGAGCCCTCATACGTCATGTATTGCAGAGTCTCTGGCAGGAGACTGTGTAGTGACAGATGACGTATAGGTGTGTACTGTGCTGTAACAGACCGTCAGAATATTCCTGTAGTTTTAGAAATTCTCCTGAACTCCATTTAAATAAAAAGCAAATTCCTATTTTTGAGCCTCGTGAGGATAATTGAGGAACTATTTGAAGGAAGTAGCGGCTCCGGTCTAGAGAACCTAGATTAACGGCCGTGGGAATTTGTTGTGCTGACCACGCCATATCCTCTATCCGCTAAAGTTGGCAGTAACTTCGCCGACAAGCGGCGGTCGCTCGGTCGGTATAGTTCGCTTGCGGACTAAAGTCACGGAGTTTTTTTTGTTTTATTTGTTTGATAACTTGTTACCTAGTGTAATGTAATAAAAAGTGACTGAGCATTAATTATCATTCAATCAGTATTCAAATTCAACACTGAAAATAAAATCTTAATAGAATGCATCCTGTTGTGTGTTATAAATATGGTATATAAAGATATATATATAAGATATGTAGTATACGCAACAATATTATATATTTAAAACAAAGAGGACACTGCTATATCAATATTTGTTTTTAACACGTAGGGGTAGGATAATTACTTCACAAAAAACATTTGTATTCCATTTTTTTACAATTTTAAATTTCATGTCTTTTATCTGTAGTTTCTGATTTTAACCTTTATATCTTTAATTTAAATTTTATTATATAAGTATTTTAAATTTTAACCCAAAATATTCAATTTATTAATTTATGCATTTAAATGATTTCAAGACACATAAAGATCCTTATTTGAAGAATTAGATAAGAAATTAATTGGAATTTAATAGATGAAGTTTGATCATTGTACGCCTGATGATGACCCGATACAAGGGTTGAAATATATTGCGTCTGTAAAAACAAAAATAAAAACAAATGGTGATACAGTAGTGTCTTTTTCGTTTTAAATACAGAATATTATTGTGTAGACTGCTTATCTTATATATACCGTTGTTCAATCAAGAAGGAAACTTCGCAACACCGCCGACTGAGCCCAATATTCCTCACGGATTGCTGCTGTAACTGTAACGGCGCGCGTTTATCAGCGCTAATGACTCATTCTGCTATCAGCAGTTACAGCAGCAATCTGTGAGAAATGTTGGGCCCGGTCAGCGGTGTTGCGAAGTTTCCTCCATAACTGAACGCGCTGTATAGCTTATATACCCATGAATGTTGCACTCGCAGTTTCGAAGTGATGACCTTACGTCAGTAGTTCTCTTCGCCGTAAATTTGAGAACAGTGTCAGGAACTGAAGCTTTTGAATGAAATTTCTGTTGCCTGCAAGTACACAACGATAATAGGAACATACAAGAATCATGAAGAAAGCAGTCTTTTGGGATGTGGCACCGTGTAGATGTGGTGTTAACCGACATTTCGGAGGAACGTATCGCCTCCATCTTCAGGGTAGAAAGGAAAATAAAATTGGCAAGCGAAGAAACAGTGAGAGCAGGTGCAAGCAGACTGATGTTGGAAATAAACTCAGCTATATGAGAGCAGGAAAGGAAGGGACAGGTCTACATGGGAAATGAGTGGAGAGGGAGGGGGGAAGGGGTTGGGACAGAAGCAGGGTTTTGTATATGAAATCCTCCTGTCCCAGCCCCTTCGCCCCTCCCACTCCACTGATTTCCCATGTAGACTTGCCCCTCTTCCTTCACTGCTCTCACATAACTGTGTTTATTTCCAACACCAGTCTGCTTGTACCGGTTCTCATGGTCTCTTCGCTTGCGGATTTTCTTATTTTTCTTTCTACCCTGAAGATGGAGGCGATACGTTCCTCCGAAACGTCGGTTAACACCACATCTACACGGTGCCACATCCCAGAAGACTGCTTTCTTCATAGTCACCGACGTGAAAACCCCAAATCTTACATACAAGAATCAGTTCGTATTTTCTTTCGAGAAGTCTCACTTGGTATATTTCTAATGAATGCGCTTCAAGATTTCCCGAGATGACTACATAAGTACTAGAATACCCTGGCCGCTATTTTGGTATGGATGACATTTCTCTTTGAACCCCCCTCCTACGCCCTTCACCTCTACATAAAATACAATTTACTTGAGCAAGGCGTCAAGAAAGCAGAGGAGGGGAAGAAGAAAATTTTTCACTTCTGAAGAAGGAAAATCAGAAAAGGAAGACAGGAAAAGAAGAAAGAAAGAAAGAAAGAAAGCAAGAAAAAAGGGAAAAGACCATTTGTAGCGGTTTCTAAAAGGAGTTGGTTTAAGGAAGGGCCTGAAACCTGAGCCAAGCCTCGTCTCGGCTCGGGTTTCTATTACTGTGAACCGACGCCGCGCGACGCTGTATCAGTGGAACAGCGCCGCACTGGCTTCGGAGAACTTGAAACTGCTCACTTCACTGTGGTGTGAAGGAAGAAGTGACGGAGAAACTTGGCAACATCCGAGTCTGCACTATTTCTGTTAGAATAAATAAATCAATGAGATTGTTGGGGCTTGCAGAATGCTTCAGGAAGACAGAGTCTATATATGTATATACAGATTCAGTCCGTACCTCACAGGAGACAAGAAGGAGAAAACTGCGATGGGAAAACAATCAGTCCACTCATAAGTTTGGTTGGTAAACCATTGGTAGTATTTTGATAAAGGAAATTTATTTTTACCTGTATGGGATAAATGAGAATGTAGCACGCATAGAGGTGATAAGATACCCTTATGAAGTTTTAGTTGGAAAGCTTGAAGGGAGATGGTACCTCAGATAAGTAGATATTGATGAGAGGACATTATTGGAATTTATCAAAGAAAATGGTGTGGAAGTTTAGGCTGGATTTAACTAGGAGAAACGATGAGCTCATATGAATGTATGGTTTCGATAATGAAGAGGGACTTATAAGCATTTGAGTATCCATCAGTTTCTAAAGAAGGAAGCTAAAACATGGCTTTAATTACTTAAATTTTCAAACTATTTTCTTTTTCATTATGTAAATACATAATTATGCAATGAAATAAAGCATCTTATTTACTGGCGCTACAACAGTGAGTCGGCCTTGGCCTCTTCCATGATATTTCTCCATACGTTCAAGTTTGGCGTTTTGGTAACAGTAGATTTTCTGACGTGTCGTTAGCCCCACGTCCAAACCCTAGATCTGAAAGACCAGCGACTATATTTCTTTTAGCCTGTCTGGCTTGGTTGATTCTACAATGAGGTTACTCTCCCGCTAGCATAGCTCTCAAGGTCATAGAGACACACAGACATTGTCTCCAATATAAGGCGATAGTCCTCGAGATTGAAATAAATAAATAAATAAATATATATTTATATACACAAATATATAAATTAACCGATAAATATATAAATTAATGTGAACGAAAATAAAAATATAATAAAATATGTTAATTAATAAGCATTTAAATGCGTAATTAAAAGCATACATCGCATTAAATACAGTAATATTAATTTTGAATGAGGAACAGATTGATCTAATGATATACCCCTGAGTTCATGCAACCAGTGCGACACGCAGTGCTCCCTGCTGAACGCAAAGAAAAGGTATCGCGGAACGGGGACAAGATGCTCCTCGAGGAAGCATACGAAGAATACAAGTTAAGGCAGTGAATGAAGGAAGTAAGGGAACAGATTACGAAGCAGAGGGTAACTTCATATTTTTGTTTCTTTATGAGATGGAAGAAATGGAACACCTCCATGTAATATATTTCAGAGCAGAGCAGGAGTAGAAGGAGAAAGAGGGGAAGCAGGGGGGGAGAAGATGTACTTGGATGTGTTTGCCGTCGGCCTCTGTTTCAAATAAATTTTTCGAAAAAAGATTTCCGTTTTTCTGTGTCGCCAAACGCTGGGAGACTGAATATTTAATTCTGCGCAACAAAATTCCGCATAAAAATTCCTTTTGTAGGTAGGCCGCACACCGGCATGCGTGAAAGACATGTAACAGTGAAGACACGATGTCTGTGACTTGACGCAAAGAAAGGAGCACAGTTCAAACGAATGAGATTATGACAACTGCCGCACACCGGTCTCATTCATGATGCAGACGTCAGATTCATGCTGATGAATCACGAATGAAGCAAGACTGCGTCTTAGCGGCCTCCGTAGTCTAGAGGTAACGTTCCCACCTCATGACTCGTAGTACGCGGGTTCAAATACCCGGCGGAAATCGTCGAATTTGTAAGGGCGGAAAAATTCAGGGAACAAGTCCTCCGGGAGGGGCTTTAAGCCGTGGGTCCCGTGTCGTAGCTTTACGGCACGTAAAAGAACCTCATATCTCCAAAGGAGGTCACTGAGCCAAATTAACGGACGTTTCCCGCCCAACAGCAGTCTCTAATACCTCTGGTAGATGGGGGAAGCATTATAAATACCTCTCAGCTAGTTGAGCCGTCTCGCTGGCTGGGCGGGGCTGATGGTAAGCACCAGTACCGGTAGGATATAGAGACTGGTAGAAATCATAGAGGGAAGCACAATGGACCAATACAGGTCTCAGTGCATGGGGAAACCCACCCTCTCCAATAACTAACTAACTAAAACTGCGTCTTTTGTCTCATGTCTTGATGCTTGTCTTGACGCTGTTGGTGTGCGGCCGCCCATAGATTTAAATAATGGTAATTCTCTGCATGTGCTTTAGGACGGTAACCTATTAGAATCAGCTTCGAGATGCAGATAGTCCAATCCGATCCTATGGTTCCCCCATCCAGACTGTGAGCGTTAAATAGGCCACGATAATCCATTTTTAAATGTTTGCGTACATACAACACATGATCTTATTCCAGTTTCACTAGATATGAGAATTATAATTAAAACAAATTATTTAAATAACAAAAATATCACAGTAATTAGTTTTAGTAGGCTTATCGACATTCAGCAGTGGTCTCCAATGTTAAAATGTAGCGAGTTGAAGCCTGTTCGTAACCGATGCTGATAAGTTACTGGCGTTTCGCCTTTCTCTGACAAAATTAAAAATTTTCGAATTATGTTAAGCTCGAAGAATGCCGTTTTGTGGGATGTGGCGTCTTGTAGATATTGTGTAAACCGTCGTTTACGTTCTGTGTGTTTTTGTA